GGGGGGGGGGGGGGGGGGGGGGGGGGGGGGGGGGGGGGGGGGGGGGGGGGGGGGGGGTTCTATTTTGTTACGTCTCGTCGTTTTGTCGATCTTTTTTGGCATACCGGTACAATGTGGTACATACGAGGTACCGGCAAAAAAAAAATGTCGCGGCAACGTTCCGGTCGTCATCAAGCTTGCGCAACTGCCAACAACCGCAGAAAACATGCACGCAACGCTTAATGTTTAGGTGGGAAACATTCCCTATGCTCGTAAAAGGCGCGGCTACCCGGCCGCGGCAGGTGATCCGATGGATTTCTTGCGGCTTCAACCAAGCATTTGCCCGTCAAGCTGGAGCCGCCCAAGACGCCACGAATCAGCAACGGTCTCTCGACACGAAAGTCAGATCTCAAACCTCACGCAACCTCGCGACCCCAGCGCTGCTCCCACGCGAGCGCTGGCTGTGTAGCTCTGACGACGTGTCTCTCTGCCAACATCGATCCCAAAGTAAAAAAGTAGTCAACCACTCACGCACAGAACTTGGCCAAGTTCAGAGAACGTTCTCCGCAACGCACAGAGGAGGCGCGTATGTACGTACGTGGAGAAGATGAACAATATATGTTTTTGTTGTTGTTTTGGGTATTTTTAATTTTCAGCTTTGGGGTGTGTTTTTTTTTCAGTTTCGGGTACTTATTTATGTTTCAGTCGGGAATTTTTTAATACTTACAGTTTTGGGTATGTTTAAATTTTCCCTCTTGGGGACGCAATTTATTGCGAGACGGCTTGTGTCTTACATACGCATGTAGTCCAGCAGAACCGAATCCGGGTCCAAGCCGTAGCGCTTGGCGAGAGGGAGGACGTGGTGGCTAATCTCCTCGGGGAGCCAATCCGGACTCTGCAAGGATAAAAAAAACACGAACGAACGCAGAGCACACAGCAGAGGAGAGTAGGAGCGAAGAGGAGAGGAGAGAGGAGAAGGCAAGAGCAGAGAATAAGCACCACAGATAAGGGGCAAGTCTCGTCAAACAGACAAGCAACCTCAGTATCACAGCAATGCAAAAGCAATCACGAAGCAACGTCAGAGGTACGGTAAGGTTCCCCGTTCCCACGGAAGGCGGCCGTCCGTGTCGGTACGGCCAAAACGACCGATGTCAGAAGACGCCAACGAGTACACCGAACGGTTTACGACGTGAAGACAAACGAACAACAGCAACTGTAATAAACTCGGCGTACGGGCGTTACGCCCCCTCCCGGACGCAGCGGCATGGCCTTCAAAACCGCACCCGCCGTATCATCCCATCATCATCATAATGACGACAGACAGTCGCGCTGACCTACCTGCACCCTATCCAGCACGCGGAAGAGAACGACGTCCCTCGGCAGCCTCTCGAAGGTCGACAGAGGCAGGCGGAGGCGGTGCACGTCCCAGGCGTGGGTCAGGTCGTCTGGCGTTGAGGAACGGGAAAAAAAGCCAGCAAGAACGTCGACGACGAAACCAATTAGCGCCACCGCGCAAGCGCCGACGTGCGCTGCGCTCCTCCAACGAAGGGAGCCTTGGAGCTTCGCCAGACGGGGTGAGGTGACATGACACAAGACACCACACCCCCCTGGACCGATTTTCAAGGGTCGATTGCAACTCCACGGAAGAAAGAGTGGCGGTACCGAAAATGGCGGGAGGCGTTGGAACCGTCTGTCTCGTCGGGATCTCTCCGAAACATGTCATTTGATTTTGGCATTCTCTTCATCGTGGAGTAATCCAGCTTCGGAACTCGGTCGTTGGGGATGTGGTATCTTGCGCCACCTACGGTATTCCCCCACTACGCAGCAGCAGAGTTCGGACCAAAAAAGAATCAATCCTGCACACGCATGCATCCAACCCCAAAAGCCAAACGTCGCCTGACTTGCACGATGTTTCCCCGATGCCCGACAAACAGATGCTCCCCCGCGACCGAAAACCTTTCCGCCAGAGCCTTCCTCCAACAATAATCCACGGAAACATCAGCAATCAGCAACAACAACGACAAGACATCAACAACTACACGTGTACCACCCACACGCAAGCGACACCAAA